CCGGACCCCCCCCCCCCCCCCTGCACTGACCGGGCGGGGCCGTTCCCGTTCCCGTTCCCGTTCCCGTTCGCAGGACGGCGGCGGCCGCCAGAAGCGCCCCGAGCACGGGGATGGGGCCCCCCATGGCCCCCCCCTTGGGGGGAGGGGGGAGAGGAGAGGAACGGGAATGGGGGGGGGGGGGGGTGAGGGGGGAGGGGTGGGAAAAGGGAAGGAAAAACGGGATCGGGAAGAGGGAAAAGTTTGAGCCGGGACGGAGCGACCGCGCCCGAGGCTTTGGGGGGGGGGGAGGGGGGGGGGCGGGATCGGGAATGGGATGGGAACGGGATGGGAACGGGAATGGGATGGGACGGGATGGGAAGGGGAATGGGATCGGGAATGGGAATGGGGATGGGAATGGGGATGGGGATGGGGGTGGGATGGGGATAGGGATGGGGGGGGGGGAGCCCCCAAAAAGGGATCGGGAATGGGATGGGAACGGGAATGGGATCGGGAATGGGAACGGGAATGGGAACGGGATCGGGAATGGGACGGGAACGGGAATGGGATCGGGAATAGGAATAGGAATGGGGATGGGGGTGGGGATGGGGGGGGGGAGCCCCCAAAGAGGGATCGGGAATGGGGATGGGAACGGGAATGGGATTGGGAATGGGAACGGGAATGGGACGGGAACGGGAATGGGACGGGAACGGGAATGGGAAGGGAATAGGAACGGGAATGGGGATGGGGGTGGGGATGGGGGGGGGAGCCCCCAAAGAGGGATCGGGAATGGGAAGGGAATGGGATTGGGAATGGGAACGGGACGGGATGGGGATAGGGATGGGGATAGGGATGGGGGGGGGAGCCCCCAAAGAGGGATCGGGAATGGGACAGGAATGGGAACGGGACGGGATGGGAAGGGGAATGGGGCTGGGGGTGGGATGGGGATAGGGATGGGGGGGGGAGCCCCCAAAGAGGGATCGGGAATGGGAACGGGAATGGGATCGGGAATGGGGATGGGGATGGGGATGGGGATGGGGATGGGGATGGGGATGGGGATGGGGGGGGGGAGCCCCCAAAGGGGGATCGGGAATGGGAACAGGAATGGGATGGGAACGGGAATGGGATCGGGAATGGGAACGGGAATGGGGATGGGGGGGAGCCCCCAAAGAGGGATCGGGAATGGGATGGGAACGGGAATGGGGATGGAGGGGGGGGGATGGGGGGGGGATGGAATGGGGGGGGGGGAGCCCCCAAAGGGGGATCGGGAATGGGATGGGGGGGGGGCTGAAACCGGGAACGGGATTGGGAATGGGATCGGGGAGACCCAAAAGGGATCGGGATAGGGGGGGAAAGGGAATGGGACCGGGAATGGAATCGGGAATAGGATCGGGAATGGGATTGGGAATAGGATCGGGAATGGGATCGGGAATGGGATTGGGACCGGGAATGGGAGGATCGGGATCGGGGGGACCGGGAATAGGATCGGGAAAAGGGGGATAGGGACCAGGAATGGGATTGGGAAATGTGGGATTGGGACGGGGAATGGGGCCAGGAATGGGATCGGGACTGGGGGGATCGGGACTGGGAATGGGATCAGGGGGACCCAAAAGGGATCAGGAACGGGGGGGGACCGGGAATGGGATCGGGAATGGGGGGATCGGGACCGGGTCAGCCCCCCCCCCGGCCATGGGGTGAGGGAGGTGGGGCAATGGGGGCTGGGGGTGATGGGGGTGCCACAGGGAGCTCTATGGGGTGTCCATGGGGTCTCTATGGGGTCTGTGGGGTGCTATGGGTTTCATAGGGTGGCCTATGGGGTCTATAAGGTGTCATAGTATACCCTGTGGGGTGCTATGGGGTGTTACAGGGTGCTCTATGGGGTCTCATAGGGTGCCATAGGGTGCTTTATGTGGTCTATGGGGTGGCATAGGGTGCTTTATGTGGTCTACGGGGTGCCATAGGGTGCTCTATGTGGTCTATGGGGTGCCATAGGGTGCTCTAAGGACTCTATAGGGTGCCATATGGTGCTCTGTGTGGCCTATGGGGTGCTACAGGGTGCTCTATGGAGTCTATAGGGTGCCATAGGGTGCTCTATGGGGTCTACAGGGTGCTCTATGGGGGGCCTCATCCCATGCACGCAGCATCATGGTGCAGAGCCCAAACCATGTGTGAAGGTGTGGAAACACATGTACACACGTGTTAACCCATGATAACCCATGATAACCCATGTTCACCCATGTCAACTCATGTTTACCCATGACCACCCATGATCACCCATGTAAACCCATGTTAACCCATGTTCACCCATGTTAACCTATGATCACCCATGTCAACCCAAGATCACCCATAATCATCCATGTTCACCCATGATCACCCATGTTCAGCCATGATCACCCATGTTAACCCATGTAAACCCATGTTAACCCATGTTTACCCATGACCACCCATGTTCACCCATGTAAACCCATGTTAACCCATGATCACCCATGTTCACCGATGCTCACCCATGATCACCCATGTAAACCCATGTTAACCCATGTTAACCCATGATCACCCATGTTAACCCATGTAAACCCATGTTCCCCCATGATCACCCATGTTCCCCCATGATCACCCATGTTCACCCATGTTCCCCCATGTTAACCCATGATCACCCATGATCACCCGTGATTACCCATGATCACCCATGTTCACCCATGTTCACCCATGTTCACCCATGTAGACCCATGATCACCCATGTTCACCCATGTTCACCCATGATCACCCATGTTAACCCATGTTCCCCCATGTTCCCCCATGTTCACCCATGTAAACCCATGATCACCCATGTAGACCCATGATCACCCATGATCCCCCATGTTAACCCATGTTAACCCATGTTCCCCCATGTTCGCCCCAAATCCCCCCTTTTTCACCCCAAAACGAGCCTCAGGCTGGAAAACATCACCACTTTATGGCCCAATGACATCATCGGGGGGGTGGGGGAGGGGGCGGGACAGCGCCCACCCCCCCTCCCCCCAACCCCTCCCCCCCAACCCCCCCCCCCCCCCAACCCCCCCCCCAGTGCAATAAATAACATGAAGCAGGAGCCCCCCCCCCCCATTGGGGGGCAATGGGGACCCCTCCCCCCCCCCCCCATGGGTACCCCCAAAGGGGTTGTTGGGGGGGGGGGGGAGGGGCTGCATCCGGATGGAGCTGGGGGGGTGGGGGAGGGGGGATGGGGGGGGGATCCCAATGGGAATCCTGGAGTGATCCTGGATGGGGGAGGGGATGCGGAAAGACCTGGAATGGGAAAGAGGGGGGGTGAGGGGGGGGAATGGGGGGAAAAAGGGGGGTTTTGGGGTGGTTTTGGGGTGTTTCAGGGCTGGTTTGGGGCTGTTTGGGTCGGGTTTGAGTGATTTTTGGGTCAATTTGGGCCATTTGGGGTCAGTTTTGAGTCATTTTGGGCCATTTTGGGTCAGTTTTGGGCCGTTTGGGTCAGTTTGGGGTCAGTTTGGGTCCATTTTAGGTCGGTTTTGGGTCATTTTGCGTCGGTTTTGGGTCATTTTAGGTCGGTTTTGGGTCAGTTTTGGGTCATTTTAGGTCTGGTTTTGGTCAGTTTTGGGTAGGTTGATTTTGGGTCAATTGGGGACATTTTGGGTCGGTTTTGGGTCATTTTGGGTAGGTTTTGGGCCATTTTAGGTCCATTTTGGGCCGTTTGGGTCAGTATTGGGTCATTTTAGGTCGGTTTTGTGTCATTTTGGGTCAGTTTTGGGTCATTTTTGGTCAGTTTTGGGTCGGTTTTGGGTCATTTTCGGTCGGGTTTGGGTCTGTTTGGGTCATTTTACGTCGGGTTTGGGACCTTTTGAGTCCATTTTGGGTCATTTTAGGTCAGTTTTGGGTCCGGTTTGGGTCGGTTTTAGGTCATTTTGGGTTGGTTTTGGGGTCATTTTAAGTCGGTTTTGGGTCATTTTGGGTCGGTTTTGGGTCATTTTGGGTCGGTTTTGGGTCAGTTTTTGGTCATTTTGGGTCCATTTTGGGTCATTTTCGGTCGGTTATGGGTCATTTTGGGTCAGTTTTGGGCCGTTTGGGTCTGTTTGGGGTCATTTTAGGCCGGTTTTGGGTCCGTTGTGGGTCATTTTCGGCCGGTTTTGGGTCATTTTCGGTCGGTTTTGGGTCATTTTGGGTCAGTTTTGGGTCATTTTAGGCCGGTTTTGGGTCATTTTGGGTCGGTTTTGGGTCATTTTGGGTCGGTTTTGGGTCATTTTGCGCCGGTTTTGGGTCATTTTGGGCCGGTTTGGGTCATTTTCGGCGGGTTTTGGGTCATTTTGGGTCGGTTTTGGGCCATTTTGGGCCGGTTTTGGGTCATTTTCGGCGGGTTTTGGGTCATTTTGGGCCGGTTTTGGGTCATTTTGGGCGGGTTTTGGGTCATTTTGGGCCGGTTTTGGGTCATTTTGGGCCGGTTTTGGGTCATTTTGGGCCGGTTTTGGTGCCCTCGGGGCCGTGGCGGCTCCCTCCCTCCCTCCCTCCGCTCACCGCTCTCAGCAGGCGCAGCTCTGCCGGGCCGGGGCCGCCCCCCCCCGCGGCTGCCTCAGGGCCGCGTCCCCGAACTGGATCCCAGACCCCATCCGCTCCGGGTCCAGCTCCCCTGGGGGGGGGGGAAGGGGGGGGGTTGGGACCGGATGGGTCCGAACCCATCCCCCCCCCCCCCCCCCCATTGGATCCCAACCCCATCCCATGGGATCCCAAATCCCATCCCATTGGATCCCCACCCCCTTTGGATCCCAACCCCATCCCATGGGATCCCAAATCCCATCCCATTGGATCCCCACCCCCCCCAATTGGATCCCAACCCCATCCCATGGGATTCCCCCCCCCCCCCCTTGGATCCCAACCCCATCCCACTGGACCCCAGCCCCGATCCCATTGGATGCCAACCCCGATCCCACTGGATCCCATCTCACAGGATCCCAGCCCGGATCCCATTGGATCTCAGCCCCCATCCCACGGCTCCCATTGGATCCCAGCCTCATCCCATTGGATTTCAGCCCTGATCCCATTGGATCCCATCCCCGATCCCATTGGATCCCATCCCCCATCCCACTGGATCCCATCCCCTATCCCATTGGTCCCCATCCCCGCTCCCATTGGTCCCCATCCCCGATCCCATTGGTCCCCATCCCCGATCCCATTGGATCCCAGTCCCCATCCCACTGGATCCCAATCCCATCGGTCCCCATCCCCGATCCCACTGGTCCCCATCCCCAATCCCATTGGTCCCCATCCCAGATCCCATTGGTCCCCATCCCCGATCCCACTGGTCCTCATCCCTGCTCCCATCTGTCCCCATCCCGGATCCCATTGGTCCCCATCCCGGATCCCATTGGTCCCCATCCCAGATCCCGCTGGTCCCCATCCCCGATCCCATCCCGGATCCTGTTGGTCCCCATCCCAGATCTCATTGGTCCCCATCCCCGATCCCACTGGTGCCCATCCCTGCTCCCATTGGTCCCCATCCCGGATCCCATTGGTCCCCATCCCCAAACCCATCGGTCCCCATCCCCAATCCCATTGGATCCCACTGGTCCCCATCCCGGATCCCATTGGTCCCCATCCCCGATCCCATTGGATCCCATTGGTCCCCATGCCCGCTCCCATTGGATCCCACTGGACCCCATCCCCAATCCCATTGGATCCCGTTGGTCCCCATCCCGGATCCCATTGGTCCCCATCCCCGCTCCCATTGGATCCCATTGGGCCCCATCCCCGCTCCCATTGGATCCCATTGGGCCCCATCCCAGATCCCGCTGGTCCCCATCCCCGATCCCATCCCAGATCCTGTTGGTCCCCATCCCAGATCTCATTGGTCCCCATCCCCAATCCCACTGGTGCCCATCCCTGCTCCCATTGGTCCCCATCCTGGATCCCATTGGTCCCCATTCCCAAACCCATCGGTCCCCATCCCCAATCCCATTGGATCCCACTGGTCCCCATCCCCGATCCCATTGGTCCCATCCCCGATCCCATTTGATCCCATTGGTCCCCATGCCCGCTCCCATTGGATCCCACTGGACCCCATCCCCAATCCCATTGGATCCCACTGGTCCCCATCCCGGATCCCGTTGGTCCCCATCCCCGCTCCCACTGAACCCCATCCCTGATCCCATTGGATCCCGTTGGTCCCCATCCCGGATCCCGTTGGTCCCCATCCCCGATCCCATTGGATCCCATTGGTCCCCATCCCCAATCCCATTGGATCCCGTTGGTCCCCATCCCCGCTCCCATTGGTCCCCATCCCTGCTCCCATTGGATCCCACTGGACCCCATCCCCGATCCCATTGGATCCCGTTGGTCCCCATCCCGGATCCCGCAGGTCCCCAGCGCCTCCGGGCGCCCCGCACCGGACTCGATCTTGCTCAGGATGCTGCGGGCGCACTTCAGGAACGCCTCCTCCACGTTCTCCCCCGTCAGCGCGCTCGTCTCCAGGAACATCAGCTCTGGGAGCCGGGAACGCCGGGATCAGCATTGCCCTGACCCCACCCCCACCCCCATCCCATCCCATCCCAATCCCATCCCCATCCCCACCCCCATCCCATCCCATCCCCATCCCAACCCCATCCCCATCCCCATTCCCATCCCCATCCCCATCCCAATCCCATTCCCACACCAGGCCCAATCCCAACCCTGCCCCATTCCAATCCCAGCGCATCCCCATCCCAATCCTGATCCCGATCCCATCCCATTTCAACCCCAATCCCTTCCCATACCCATCCCATTCCAACGCCATCCCAGCCCTTTTGCATCCCCATCCTCATGCCATTCCAATGCCATCCCACTCCCATCCCCATCCCAAGCCTTTCCCATCCCCATCCCAATCCCATCCCCATCCCATTGCAACGCCATCCCAACCCTTTCCCATTCCTATCCCAACCCAATCCCATTCCCATCCCATCCCATTCCAATCCCAATCCCATCCCCATCCTAACCGTTTCCCATCCCCATCCCAACCCTTTCCCATCCCAATCCCATTCCCATTCCATTCCAACGCCATCCCAACCCTCTCCCATTCCCATCCCAACCCAATCCCATTCCCATCCCATCCCAATCCCATCCCCATCCCATTCCAACGCCATCCCAACCCTTTCTCATTCCCATCCCATCCCCATCCCATTCCACCGCCATCCCAACCCAATCCCATTTCCATCCCATCCCCATCCCCATCCCATTCCACCACCATCCCAAGCCTTTCCCATCCCATCCCCATCCCACTCCCATCCCATCCCAACCCTTTCCCATCCCATCTCCATCCCATTCCAATCCCATCCCAACCCTTTCCCATCCCCATCCCCATCCCAATCCCATTACAACACCATCCCAATCCCAATCCCATCCCCATCCCATTCCACCGCCATCCCAACCCTTTCCCATTCCCATCCTAACCCTTTTCAATCCCCATCCCAATCCCATCTCCATCCCATTCCACTGCCATCCCAACCCTTTCCCATCCTCATCCCATTCCTCATCCCATCCCCATCCCAATCCCATCCCCATCCCATTCCACTGCCACCCCAACCCAATCCCATTCCCATCCCAATCCCACCCCATCCCCATCCCCATTCCCATCCCATCCCCATCCCAACCCTTTCCCATCTCCATCCCATCCCCATTCCAATCCCCATCCCCATCCCAATCCCATCCCCATCCCATTCCAACACCATCCCATCCCCATTCCAACCCCATCCCAATCCCATCCCCAACCCCATCCCCATCCCAATCCCATCCCCATCCCATTCCACTGCCATCCCAACCCAATCCCATTCCCATCACCATCCCATCCCCATCCCATTCCACTGCCATCCCAACCCAATCCCATTCCCATCCCATCCCATCCCCATCCCATCCCAATCCCCATTCCCATCCCAACCCTTTCCCATCTCCATCCCATCCCCATCCCATCCCATCCCCATCCCAATCCCATCCCCATCCCGATCCCACCCCATTCCCGACCGTTCTCCTGGGCGAAGCGGGATGCTTCCAGGAAGGTCACTTCCCGCTCCGCATCCAGATCCTTCTTATTCCCGCAGAGGATGATGACGATGTTGGGGCTGGCCAGGGTCCGCGCGTCCGTGAGCCAATTGGTGAGCGCGTTGTAGGTTTCCCGGCTGGAATGGGGCGGGAATGGGGCTGGGAATGGGCTGGGATCGGGTCTGGGAATGGGGTGGTAATGGGGGTGGTAATGGGGTGGGAATGGGGCTGGGAATGGGGCGGGAATGGGGTGGGAATGGGTCTGGGAATGGGGTGGGATCCAATGGGGTGGGAATGGGGTGGGAATGGGGTGGGATCCAATGGGGTGGGAATGGGGGTGGGAATGGGGGTGGGAATGGGGGTGGGAAAGGGGTGGGAATGGGGATGGAAATGGGGCTGGGAATGGGGCTGGGAATGGGGCTGGGAATGGGGGTGGGGATGGGGGTGGGGATGGGGGTGGGGATGGGGGTGGGGCTGGGGTGGAAATGGGGTGGGAATTGGGCTGGGAATGGGGTGGGATCCAATGGGCTGGGAATGGGGCTGGGAATGCGGTGGGATCAAATGGGGTGGGAATGGGGCGGGAATGGGGCTGGGGCTGGGGGTGGGGATGGGGTGGAAATGGGGTGGGAATTGGGCTGGGAATGGGGTGGGATCCAATGGGCTGGGAATGGGGCTGGGAATGCGGTGGGATCAAATGGGGTGGGAATGGGGTGGGAATGGGGCTGGGAATGGGGCTGGGAATGGGGTAGGATCCAATGGGGTGGGAATGGGGTGGGAATGGGGCTGGGAATGGGGCTGGGAATGGGGCGGGAATGGGGCGGGAATGGGGCGGGAATGGGGCTGGGAATGGGGTGGGAATGGGGTGGGAATGGGGTGGGAATTGGGCTGGGAATGGGGGTGGGAATGGGGTGGGATCCAATGGGGTGGGAATGGGGGGGGAATGGGGCTGGTAATGGCGTGGGAATGGGGGTGGGAATGGGGTGGGATCCAATGGGCTGGGAATGGGGCTGGGAATGGGGTGGGAATGGGGTGGGAATGGGGTGGGAATGGGGCGGGATCCAATGGGATGCGATGGGAATCACCTGGTGATGTCGTAGACGAGCAGCGCTCCCGCGGCGCCCCGGTAATAGCTCCGGGTGACGGACCTGGGGATGGGAGAGCACATGGAAAAGTGGGATGGGGTGGGAATGGGATGGGAAGGGAAGGGGAAGGGGATGGGAAGGGAAGGGGGAAGAGGAAGGGAAGGGGGATGGGGAAGGGGATGGGAGGGGAAGGGAAAGGGAAAGGGGAACGGAAGGGGATGGGAAGGGGAAAGGGAAGGGAAGGGGAAGGGAAAAGGAAAGGGAAGAGGAAGGGGAAAGGGAAGGAGAAAAGGAAGGGAAGGGGAAGGGAAAAGGAAAGGGAAGAGGAAGGGAAGGGGAAAAGAAAAGGGAAGACGAAGGGGAAAGGGAAGGGGAAGGGAAGGGGAAGGGAAAATGAAAGGGAAGAGGAAAGAGAAGGGAAAAGGGAAAAGGAAAGAGAAGGGGAAGGGGAAAGGGAAGGGGAAAGGGAAGGGGAAAGGGAAGGGGAAAGGGAAGGGGAAAGGGAAGGGGAAAGGGAAGGGGAAAGGGAAGGGGAAAGGGAAGGGGAAAGGGAAGGGGAAAGGGAGGGGGAAAGGGAGGGGGAAAGGGAGGGGGAAAGGGAAGGGGAAAGGGAAGGGATGGGAAAAGGAAGCAGAAGGGGATGGGAAAGGGAAGAAAAGGGGAAAGTGTTGAGAAAAGGAAGGGGAAACGGATGGGAAGGAAGTCGGAAGGGGAAAAGGGAAGGGGATTGGAAACGGATGGGAAAGGGATGGGAAGAGGAAAAGGGAAGGGGATGGGGGGGGATGGGGATGGGGGCGGCTGGGGATGGGGGGGGCTGGGCACCTGAAGCGCTCCTGCCCGGCCGTGTCCCAGATCTGCAGCTTCACGCTCTTGCCGCCCACGTTGACGACCTTGGAGCCGAACTCGACGCCGATCGTGTGGTTGGAATCCGGCTTGACTGCGGGGGAAGAGCGGGACACCGCGGCGGTCCAATGGGATCGCGGTGGTCCAATGGGATCACGGCGGTCCAATGGGATCACAGCGATCCAATGGGATCACAGCGGTCCAATGGCGTCACAGCGGTCCAATGGCGTCACAGCGGTCCAACGGCATCACACACCAATCCAATGGGATCACAGTGATCCAACTGGATCACACACCAATCCAATAGGATCACAGCGATCCAATGGGATAACACACCGATCCATAGGGATAACAGCGATCCAATGGGATCAGACACCAATCCAATGGGATCACAGCGATCCAATGGGATCACAGCGGTCCAATGGGATCACAGCGGTCCAATGGGATAACACACCGATCCATAGGAATAACAGCGATCCAATGGGATCACAGCGATCCAATGGGATAACATACCGATCCATAGGGATAACAGCGATCCAATGGGATCACACACCAATCCAATGGGATCACAGCGATCCATAGGGATAACAGCGATTCAATGGGATAACACACTGATCCAATGGGATCACACCGATCCGTAGGGATAACAGCGATCCATAGGGATCACACCGATCCATAGCGATACATTCCATAGGGATACTGCAGCATTCCATAAGGATACAGCCACATTCTATAAAGATACTCTGCTGCTCCATAGGGATACAGCCGCATCCCATAGGGATACGGCCGCGTTCCATAGGGCTACTGCCACACTCCCATTGGGATACCATAGCGTTCCATAGGGATACAACCACATTCCATAGGAATACACCCACACTCCATAGGGATACAGCGCTATTCCCAACGGGATAGCCCATCATTCCCACTGGGATACCCCATCACTCCCAACAGGATACCCTCTCATTCCCACTGGGATACCCCATCATTCCCATTGGGATACCCCACCATTCCCACTGGGATACCCCATCATTCCCATCAGGATACCCCACCATTCCCAATGGGATACCCCACCATTCCCACCGGGATACCCCACCATTCCCACCGGGATACCCCACCATTCCCAATGGGATACCCCACCATTCCCACCGGGATACCCCACCATTCCCAATGGGATACACCCTCATTCCCAATGGGATACCCCACCATTCCCATCAGGATACCCCATCATTCCCAATGGGATACCCCATCATTCCCATCGGGATACCCCACCATTCCCACTGGGATACCTCAGCATTCCCACCGGGATACCCCATCATTCCTAACGGGATACCCCACCATTCCCATCGGGATACCCCATCATTCCCAATGGGATACCCCCTCATTCCCAATGGGATAGCCCATCATTCTCAACGGGATACCCCACCATTCCCATTGGGATACCCCACCATTCCCAATGGGATACCCCATCATTCCCATCGCGATACCCCACCATTCCCCCTGGGATACCCCATCATTCCCACCGGGATACCCCACCATTCCCATTGGGATACCCCACCATTCCCAATGGGATACACCCTCATTCCCAATGGGATACCCCACCATTCCCACCGGGATACCCCACCATTCCCATTGGGATACCCCACCATTCCCACTGGGATACCCCATCATTCCAATCGGGATACCCCACCATTCCCAATGGCATACCCCACCATTCCCACTGGGATACCCCATCATTCCAAGCGGGATACCCCACCATTCCCAATGGGATACCCCACCATTCCCACCGTGATACCCCACCATTCCCACTGGGATACCCCATCATTCCAATCGGGATACCCCACCATTCCCACCGGGATACCCCACCATTCCCAATGGGATACCCCAGCATTCCCACCGGGATACCCCACCATTCCCACTGGGATACCCCACCATTCCCACCGGGATACCCCATCATTCCCAATGGGATACCTCACCGTTCCCACCGGAATACCCCACCATTCCCATTGGGATCACTCACACTTGTTCTCGATGAACTGGTGCAGCAGGCAGGATTTGCCGGTGCCGGCGCTGCCGATCACCAGGAATTTGAAGAGGAAATCTGGGAATGGCCGAGGGGAAAAAGGGGGTCAGGATGGGGGTGATGGGGGGCGGGGGGAATTCCAGCCCCATTCCCATGGGATGCAGGGAAACACCTCCAAATGGGGGGGGGGGGGGGGATGGTCCCATTCCTGGCATGATCCCGGGAGTCCCAAAGGCAGCCCCATGGGGAGCACTATAGGGACCCACATGCCCTATAGAGCACCCCACACTCCCCATAGATCCCCTATAGAGCCCCCCCACTCCCCATAGGGTCCCATAGATCCCCTATAGAGCCCCCCCCACTCCCCATAGGGTCCCATAGATCCCCTATAGAGCACCCCTACTCCCCATAGGGTCCCATAGATCCCCTATAGAGCACCCCCACTCCCCATAGGGTCCCATAGATCCCCTATAGAGCACCCCACACTCCCCATAGGGCCCCACAGATCCCCTATAGAGCCCCCCCACTCCCCATAGATCCCCTATAGAGCCCCCCCCACTCCCCATAGGGCCCCATAGATCCCCTATAGAGCCCCCCTACTCCCCATAGGGCCCCATAGATCCCCTATAGAGCCCCCTCACTCCCCATAGGGCCCCATAGATCCCCTATAGAGCCCCCCCCACTCCCCATAGGGCCCCATAGATCCCCTATAGAGCCCCCCCACTCCCCATAGGGCCCCATAGATCCCCTATAGAGCCCCCCTACTCCCCATAGGGTCCCATAGATCCCCTATAGAGCACCCCACACTCCCCATAGGGCCCCAGAGATCTCCTATAGAGCCCCCCCACTCCCTATAGGGCCCCATAGATCCTCTATAGACCTCCCCCCACTCTATAGGGCCCCATAGATCCCCTATAGACCTCCCCCCACTATATAGGGCCCCATAGATCCCCTATAGACGCCACTCACTCCATATAGGGCCCCATAGATCCCCTATAGACCCCTCCCACTACATATAGGGCTCCATAGATCCCCTATAGACCCCCATCCACTCCATACAGGGCCCCATAGATCCCCTACAGAGCCCCCCCCCCCTCCCTAGCGCCCCACTCCCTATAGGACCCCACAGCACCCTATAGTGACCTATAAGCTTCCTATAGGAACCCACAGCCCCTCACCCCCAGCCACTGTAGGGTCCCACACATCCCCTATAGGGCCCAACCCCTCCCTATAGGGCCCCATAGACCCCCTATAGAGCCCCCCACACCCCCTATACCGACCCACACACCCCCTATTGGACCCTGCAGACCCCCATAGAAGCCCACACGCTCCCTATAGGGCCCGACAGACCCCCAGAGACCCCCACACAGTCCCTATAGGGCCCCATAACCCCCCTCTAGGGCCCCATAGACCCCCGCAGACCCCACACAGGGCCCCAAAAGACCCCCATAGCGCCCCACACGCTCGCTCTAGGGCCCCATAGAGCCCCATAGAGCCCTATAGGCCCCCCCCCCACCGTAGGTCTCGGACATGGCTGGAGCCACCCGGGCCGGGCCCCGCCGCCGCCGCCGCCTCCGGTCCGTACGGAAGGGAGCGGGCGCAATATGGCGGCGCCCAGGAGAGCCACTTCCGGGTCTGGCGCGCATGCGCGGGAAGGGGAAAACCAGGAGATGGGCGGAGCCATACGGCTGTAACAGCGTGAGGGCGTGACCAATTGCGGCTCAATGGGCGTGTGTATGCAAATAAATAGGCGTGGCCAGTGGAAGGGGCGTGGCCAAGGCGCTCGCTGCGCTCCTGGGTCCTAAAGTCCCCCCCCGCGCGCGTCCCATTGACCCCCCCCTCCCCGGGGTAAAACGACCCCAAAATCCCCCCATTTTACCCCAAAACGCCCCCATTTTCGCCCCCTAAGAGCCAAGAACACAAGGGGGGGGCACAGGGGGGGTTTATTTTGGGGGAGGGGGCACAGGCTCCAGGTGCAATGTCTATGGCAGACCCTGGGTACAATGCTTAAGGATGGGGGGGGATAAAGGGGGGGGCAAAGGTTTGGCTGCCCTGGGGCAAACTTACCTTTGGGGGGGGGGGAAAAGGGGTTTGGGGGGTAAAAGGGGGCTTTGGGGGGGCAAAAGGGGCTTTGGGGGGGGAAAAGGGGGGTTTGGGGGGGGGGGGGGGGTTTGGGGTGGCTCAAAGGGGGTTTGGGGGGGTTTAAGGGGGTTTGGGGGGGGAAAGGGGGTTTGGGGGGGCGTAAAGGGGGTTTGGGGGGGCAAAAGGGGGTTTGGGGGGGGAAAGGGGGTTTGGGGGGGGGCTTAAAGGGGGCTTGGGGGGGTTTAAAGGGAGTTTGGGGGGGGCTTAAAGGGGGCTTGAGGGGGCTTAAAGGGGGTTTTGGGGGGCAAAAGGGGGTTTGGGGTGAATCAAAGGGGGTTTGGGGGGGCAAAAGGGGATTTGGGGGGGCTTAAAGGGGGTTTTGGGGGGGCAAAAGGGGGTTTGGGGTGAATCAAAGGGGGTTTGAGGGGGCTTAAAGGGGGTTTTGGGGGGGCAAAAGGGGGTTGTGGGGGGCTTAAAGGGGGGGTTTTGGGGGAAAAAGGGGGTTTGGGGTGGATCAAAGGGGGTTTGGGGGGGCAAAAGGGCGTTTGGGGGGTTCTAAAGGGGTTTGGGGGGGCAAAAGGGGTGGTTTTAGGGTGATTTGGGGACATTTTGTGGTATTTTGGGGTGTTCTGGGTGGTTTGGGGGTATTTTGCGGTGGTTTTGGGGTATTTGGGTGTGTTCCGGGTGGTTTTGGGGTGTTTCAGGGGTATTTTGGGGAGTTTCGGTGATCTTCAAGGTGGTTTTAGGGTATTTTGGGGTTTTCTGGGTGTTTTGGGGGTATTTTGGGGTGTTTTGGGGATGTTTAGGTGGGTTTCAGGGTGTTTTGGGGATATTTTGGGGTGTTTCAGGGTGTTTTTGTAGTATTTTGGGCTGTTTTAGGGGTATTATGGGGTGCTTTGGGGGTATTTTTGGGTGTTTCAGTGTGGTTTTGGGCTGTTTCAGGGTGTTTTGGGGGGTTCCAGGGGTATTTTGGGGGTATTTTGAGATGCGTTGGGGGTGTTTCAGGGTATTTTAAGGTGGCTTTGGGGTGTTTCAGGGGTGGTTTTTTTTTCGGGGGGGTTTTGGGGTGGGGTTTTTTTTCCGGGGTATTTTGGGGCATTTTGGGGTGTTTTGGCGTATTTTGGGGATGCTTCTGGGGGCATTTTGGCGTATTTTGGGGAGGTTTCGGGGTGATTTAGGGGGTATTTTGGGGATGTTTCAGGTTGGTTTTGGGGGTGTTTTGGGGTATTTTGGGGTGGTTTTGGGTGTTTCGGGTGTATTTTGGGGTGTTTCAGGGTATTTTGAGGATTTTGGGTGTTTCGGGGTATTTTGGAGTATTTCGTGGGTGTTTTGGGGTATTTTGGGGGTATTTTTGGGTATTTCGGGGTGATTTTGGGGGTATTTTTGGGATGTTTCGGGTTGGTTTTGTGGGTGTTTCAGGGTACTTTGGGGTGGTTTTGGGATGTTTTGGGGGTATTTTGTGGATGTTTTGGGGGTGTTTCGGGGGTTTTGGGGGTATTTTTGGTGTTTTGGGGGGTATTTTGGGGTGTTTTTGGGGTGTTTTGCGGTATTTTGGTTTTTTTTTGGTAGTTTGGGGGGTATTTTGGGGTGTTTTGGGGTATTTTGGGGTGTTTTGGGGGTATTTTGGGGTGTTTTGGGGGTATTTTGGGGTGTTTTGGGGGTATTTTGGGGTCTTTTGGGGTGTTTCGGGGTGTTTCAGGGTGTTTCGGGGTCACTTCTTGGCGAAGGAGATCTTCATGGCGTTGCTCTGCGTGATCTTGAAGCCCTGGAGCGCGTCGCGGGCGGCGCCGGCCTGCACCTCGTTGTCGAACTCCACGAAGGCGATGTCGTGGCGGCCCGGCACGAGGCGAACCTCCTTGAAACCAGGGAACCTGGGGGGGATGAGGGGGGGTGAGGGGGGGTGAGGGGGGGGGGATAAGGGGGGGGATAAGGGGGGATGAGGGGGGGATGAGGGGGGGATGAGGGGGGGATGAGCGGGGAGGATATGGGGGGAACGGGGGAACGGGGGGGGAACGGGGGGGGAATAGGGGGGCGATAAGGGGGGGAGATGGGGGGATGAGGGGGGAGGATATGGGGGGATAAGGGGGGGGATAAGGGGGGGATAAGGGGGGGGATAAGGGGGGGGATAAGGGGGGATGAGGGGGGGATGAGGGGGGGAATATGGGGGGGAATATGGGGGGGATGAGGGGGGATGAGGGGGGGATGAGGGAGAATAAAGTGGGATATGGGGAGAGATGAGGGGGGGATATGGGGAGGGATGAGGGGGGGATGAGGGTGGGATGAGGGGGGGAAGGGGGATATGAGGGAGGATGAGGGGGATGAGGGGGGGATGAGGGGGGGATGAGGGGGGGATGAGGGGGGGATGAGGGGGGGATGAGGGGGGGATGAGGGGGGGATGAGGGGGGGATGAGGGGGGGATGAGGGGGGGATGAGGGGGGGATGAGGGAGAATAAAGTGGGATATGGGGAGATAAGGGAGGGATAACGGGGGATATGGGGTGGGATAAGGGGGGATAAGGGGGGGATATGGGGGGAGATATGAGGGGGGGATATGGGAGAATAAAGTGGGATATGGTGGGATAAGGGGGGGATAAGGGGGGGGGATATAGCAGGATAAGGTGGGATAAGGGGTGGGATAAGGCAGGATACGGTGGGATAAAGGGGGATAAGGTGGGATAAGGGGTGGGATATGGTGGGATAAGGCAGGATTAGGAGGGATAAAGTGGGATAGTGGGGTAAGGCAGGATAAGGCAATGGCATAAGTTGGGATAAGTTGGGATAAGGTGGGGATAAGGTGGGATAAGTCACTATAAGGGGTGGGATAAGGCGGGATAAGGGGGAATAAAGCGGGATAAGGCGGGATAAGGCATGGGATGGGGGGTCCCCATCATCATCGGCACTCACTGGTTGAAGAGCATGGAGAGCATCAGCTCGTTGGTCTCCTCAGGGAGGTTGGTGAGGAAGAGGATGTGGTTGGGGGGGTTCTCTGAGAGCTGGGGGGGGAAAGTGGGATCAGAGGGGGGGAAAAAGAGGAATTCCAGGCCCCAAAGTAGGGATTGACCTCTGGAAAGGAGGAATGCTGATGGAAAAGCAGGAATTCTGCCTGAAAATGTGGGAATTCTGCCTAAAAATGTAGAAATTCTGCCTAAAACAAAGGAATTGTGCCTAAACCACAGGAATTCTGCCAAAAAAAGCAGGAATTCTGCTGGAAAACCAGGAATTCCACCTAAAATGCAGGAATTCTGCCTAAAACCACAGGAATTCCACCTAAACCAGCAGGAATTCCGCCTGTAAAAAGCATGAATTCTGCCTTCAAAAGGATGAATTCTACCTAGAAAAGCAGGAATTCCACCTAACAAGCAAGAATTCTGCCTAAAATGAAGGAATTGCACCTAAAACCCGGATTCCCAACCCAAAAAGTAGGGATATTCCCTTAAAACCCAGAATCCCAACCCAAAAAGTAAGGATATTCCCCCCAAAAAGCAGGAATCCAGACCTAAAAAAATAGGGATTGCCCCTAAAAGCAGCAATTTCCACCTAAAAAGCAGGAATTCCCCCCCCCCCCCCAAGCAGGGATCATCCCAAACATCCGCTCCGTGCCCACATTCCATCCTGGATCCCAATGGATCACCCCCAATGGATCGCCCCCAATGGATCGCCCCCAATGGATCGCCCCCAATGGATCATCCCAATGGATCACCCCCAATGGATATCCCCCCCCCAATGGATTGCCCCCCATGGATTCCCAATGGATCGCCCCCAATGGATCACCCCCCAATGGATTCCCAATGGATTGCCCCCAATGGATCCCCCCGATTCCCAATGGATCACCCCCAATGGATTCCCAATGGATCGCCCCCAATGGATCACCCCCCAATGGATTCACCAATGGATCCCAATGGATTCACACCCAATGGATTCCCAATGGATTGCCCCCAATGGATTCCCAATGGATCGCCCCCAATGGATCACCCCCCGATTCCCAATGGATTCACCCCCAATGGATCACCACACAATGGATCACCCCCAATGGATTCACACCCAATGGATTCCCAATGGCTTGCCCCCAATGGATCACCTCCAATGGATCACCCCCCAATGGATCCACACCCAATAGATTCCCAATGGATTGCCCCCAATGGATTCCCAATGGATCCCCCCCGATTCCCAATGGATCGCCCCCAATGGATTCACCCCAATGGATCCACACCCAATGGATTCCCAATGGATCGCCCCCAATGGATTCCCAATGGATCACCCCCAATGGATCACCCCCAATGGATCCCAATGGATTCACACCCAATGGGTTCCCCCCAATGGATCGCCCCCCAATGGATTCCCAATGGATCGCCCCCAATGGATCACCCCCAGTGGATTCACCCCCAATGGATTCACCCCCAATGGATCGCCCCCAATGGATCCCAATGGATTCACACCCCCCCCCTCCCCAACCCCATTTCCCATTGGAGGCCGGCATCACCTGCTGGGGGGGCATGGCTCCAGGTGGGATTCCTCCGGGAGTCATTCCAGGAGGTGGGATCATCCCCGGCGGGGGCATGTAGGGCGGCTGCCCGGCCATGTGGTGCATCATGCGGGGCGCTTGGCTCATGGGCGGCATTCCCTATGGGATAACATGGATTGGGGGGGTGTTAAGGAGCCTGGAACGCCACCGGGATCCAGCCCCATTCCCAATGGACGCACGGGAACGCTGCCCTGCACCGGTGCGGCCGCGGCGGCTCCGCTCTTCTTCCCGCTGGGAGCTTCCTGGCCTTTGGGTTTCCGCTTCTCCCGCTTCCGATCCCGCTCCACGAAGGTGCCCTTCATCTTGGCGATGATGTCGGAATCCGTCTTGGCATATTGGATACGCTGCAGGAAAAGGGGGAATGCCGTGGATAAAGAATTCCCATTGGGGAATTGGCTGTGGGAGGAGTGGGAATGCCATGGGTAAGGAATTCCCATTGGGGATTATGGTCTCCTTAAGGTCGTGGGATGAGTGGGAATGCTGTGGGATAAGGAATTCCCATTGGGAAATTGGCTGTGGGATGAGTGGGAATGCCGTGGGTAAGGAATTCCCATTGCAGGTTTGGTCTCCTTAAGGCTGTGGGATGAGTGGGAATTCCGTGGGATAAGGAATTCCCATTGGGGTTTGGTCTCCTTAAGGCCATGGGATAAGTGGGAATGCCGTGGGATAAGGAATTCCCACTGGGGATTATGGTCTCCTTAAGGCCATGGGTAAGGAATTCCCATTGGGGATTATGGTCTCCTTAAGGCCATGGGATGAGTGGGAATGCCGTGGGATAAGGAATTCCCATTGCGGGTTTGGTCTTCTTAAGGCTGTGGGATGAGTGGGAATGCCGTGGGTAAGGAATTCCCATTGGAGATTATGGTCTCCTTAAGGCTGTGGGATGAGCGGGAATGCCGTGGGATAAGGAATTCCCATTGGGGTTTGGTCTCCTTAAGGCTGTGGGATGAGTGGGAATGCTGTGGGTAAGGAATTCCCATTGCGGGTTTGGTCTCCTTAAGGCTGTGGGATGAGTGGGAATGCCGTGGGATAAGGAATTCCCATTGGGGAATTGGCTGTGGGATGAGTGGGAATGCCGTGGGTAAGGAATTCCCATTGGGGATTATGGTCTCCTTAAGGCCGTGGGATGAGCGGGAATGCCGTGGGATAAGGAATTCCCATTGGGGAATTGGCTGTGGGATGAGTGGGAATGCCGTGGGTAAGGAATTCCCATTGGGGGTTTGGTCTCCTTAAGGCCATGGGATGAGTGGGAATGCCGTGGGTAAGGAACTCCCATTGGGGTTTGGTCTCCTTAAGGCTGTGGGATGAGTGGGAATGCTGTGGGATGAGCTATTCCCATTGGGGATTATGGTCTCCTTAAGGCCATGGGATGAGTGGGAATGCCGTGGGATAAGGAATTCCCATTGGGGATTATGGTCTCCTTAAGGTCGTGGGATGAGTGGGAATGCTGTGGGATAAGGAATTCCCATTGGGGAATTGGCTGTGGGATGAGTGGGAATGGCGTGGGTAAGGAATTCCCATTGGGGATTATGGTCTCCTTAAGGCCATGGGATGAGTGGGAATGCCGTGGGATAAGGAATTCCCATTGGGGATTATGGTCTCCTTAAGGCCATGGGATGAGTGGGAATGCCGTGGGTAAGGAATTCCCATTGGGGAATTGGCTGTGGGATGAGTGGGAATGCCGTGGGTAAGGAATTCCCATTGGGGATTATGGTCTCCTTAAGGCTGTGGGATGAGCGGGAATGCCGTGGGTAAGGAATTCCCATTGGGGTTTGGTCTCCTTAAGGCCGTGGGATGAGTGGGAATGCCGTGGGATAAGGAATTCCCATTGGGGTTTGGTCTTCTTAAGGCTGTGGGATGAGTGGGAATGCCGTGGGATAAGGAATTCCCATTGGGGATTATGGTCTCCTTAAGGTCGTGGGATGAGTGGGAATGCCGTGGGATAAGGAATTCCCATTGGGGTTTGGTCTCCTTAAGGCTGTGGGATGAGTGGGAATGCTGTGGGTAAGGAATTCCCATTGGGGTTTGGTCTCCTTAAGGCTGTGGGATGAGTGGGAATTCCGTGGGATAAGGAATTCCCATTGGGGTTTGGTCTCTTTAAGGCCATGGGATGAGTGGGAATGCCGTGGGATAAGGAATTCCCATTGGGGTTTGGTCTCCTTAAGGCTGTGGGATGAGTGGGAATTCCGTGGGATAAGGAATTCCCATTGGGGTTTGGTCTCCTTAAGGCTGTGGGATGAGTGGGAATTCCGTGGGATAAGGAATTCCCATTGGGGTTTGGTCTCCTTAAGGCCATGGGATAAGTGGGAATGCCGTGGGTAAGGAATTCCCATTGGGGATTATGGTCTCCTTCAGGCCATGGGATTAGTGGGAATGCCGTGGGATAAGGAATTCCCATTGGGCGTTTGGTCTCCTTAAGGCTGTGGGATGAGTGGGACCCAATGGGGACCCAAAAGGGATGCAATAGGGATGTAATGGGGATGGATCCCTATGGAATTCCCTCGGGAAGGACTCACCATGGGCTTGTCGTAGAAGGGGAAGCCCTGCATGGAGCGCAGGGTGATGCTGGGGTGGCAATGGGGACACAATGGGGACGGATCCCTATGGAATTCCCTCGGGAAGGACTCACCATGGGCTTGTCGTAGAAGGGGAAGCCCTGCATGGAGCGCAGGGTGATGCTGGGGTTGCAATGGGGACCCAATGGGGACGCAATGAGAATACAATAGGGACCCCATGGGGAGGAAATGGGGTTGGAATGGAGATGGAATGGGGATACAATAGGGACACAATGGGGACGCAATGGGGATGTAATGTGAATGTAATAGGGACCCCATGGAGATGGAATGGGGATACAATAGGGACCCAATGGGGATGGAATGGGGACTCAATGGGGATGGAATGGGGACTCAATAAGGACCCAATGGGGATACAATGGGGATGGAATGAGAATACAATAGGGACCCCATGGGGATGAAATGGGGTTGGAATGGAGATACAATAGGGACACAATGGGGACCCAATGGGGATGGAACGGAGACCCAATAGGGACGCAATGGGGATGCAATGGGGATGTAATGAGAATACAATAGGGACCCCATGGGGATGCAGTGGAGATGCAATGGAGACCCAATAGTGATGCAATGGGGACGGATCCCTATGGAATTCCCTCGGGAAGGACTCACCATGGGCTTGTCGTAGAAGGGGAAGCCCTGCATGGAGCGCAGGGTGATGCTGGGGTTGCAATGGGGACCCAATGGGGACGCAATGAGAATACAATAGGGACCCCATGGGGAGGAAATGGGGTTGGAATGGAGATGGAATGGGGATACAATAGGGACACAATGGGGACGCAATGGGGATGTAATGTGAATATAATAGGGACCCCATGGAGATGGAATGGGGATACAATAGGGACCCAATGGGGATGGAATGGGGACTCAATGGGGATGGAATGGGGACTCAATAAGGACCCAATGGGGATACAATGGGGATGGAATGAGAATACAATAGGGACCCCATGGGGATGAAATGGGGTTGGAATGGAGATACAATAGGGACACAATGGGGACCCAATGGGGATGGAACGGAGACCCAATAGGGACGCAATGGGGATGCAATGGGGATGTAATGAGAATACAATAGGGACCCCATGGGGATGCAGTGGAGATGCAATGGAGACCCAATAGTGATGCAATGGGGATGGATCCCTATGGAATTCCCTCGGGAAGGACTCACCATGGGCTTGTCATAGAAGGGGAAGCCCTGCATGGAGCGCAGGGTGATGCTGGGGTTGCAATGGGGACCCAATGGGGACGCAATGGGGACGGATCCCTATGGAATTCCCTCGGGAAGGACTCACCATGGGCTTGTCATATAAGGGGAAGCCCTGCATGGAGCACAGGGTGATGCTGGGGTTGCAATGGGGACACAATGGGGACGCAATGGGGATGTAATGAGAATACAATAGGGACCCCATGGGGATGCAGTGGAGATGCAATGGAGACCCAATGGGGATGCAATGGGGATGGATCCCTATGGAATTCCCTCGGGAAGGACTCACCATGGGCTTGTCGTAGAAGGGGAAGCCCTGCATGGAGCGCAGGGTGATGCTGGGGTTGCAATGGGGACACAATGGGGACGCAATGGGGATGGATCCCTATGGAATTCCCTCGGGAAGGACTCACCATGGGCTTGTCGTAGAAGGGGAAGCCCTGCATGGAGCGCAGGGCGCTGGAGGCGCTGCTCAGCTCCTTGAAGATGACAAAGGCCTGGCCCCGGAGCCGCAGGCTGCGTGCCACCAGGATGTCCAGGATCTGTCCAAACTGGGAGAAGATGGCGTACAGCGACTTCTTGAGCTCTGGGGGGGGGACACATGGAGCAAGGGGGGGTCAGAGGGGGCTTGGAGGCCTCTAAAAGGGGTTTTGGGGGGACCCTGAAGGGGTTTGGGGGGGATTAAAGGGGGTTTTGGGGGGTTCAGAGGAGTTTGGGGAGGGATAAAATGGGTTTTGGGGGGGGCTCAGAGAGGTTTTGAGGGTGATTAAAAGGTTTTGGGGGTTCAGATGAGTTTTGGGGGGCATAAATGGGGTGGTTTTGGTGCCTAAAGGGTTGGGGGGGGCTCAGAGAAGTTTTGGGGGGTTCAGATGAGTTTTGGGGGGGATAAAATGGTGCCTAAAAGGTTTGGGGGGGGCTCAGAGAGGTTTTGAGGGTGATTAAAAGGGTTTTTGGGGTTTCAGATGAGTTTTGGGGGGCATAAATGGGGTGGTTTTGGTGCCTAAAGGGTTGGGGGGGGGCTCAGAGAGGTTTTGAGAGTGATTAAAAGGGTTTTGGGGGGGTTCAGATGAGTTTTGGGGGGGGGATAAATGGGGTGGTTTTGGTGCCTAAAGGGGTGGGGGGGGGGCTCAGAGAGGTTTTGAGGGTGATTAAGATGTTTTTTGGGGTTTCAGATGAGTTTTGGGGGGATAAAATGTTTTTTTTTTGGTCTCTAAAAGGTTTTTGGGGGGCTCAGAGAGGTTTTGAGGGTGATTAAAAGGGTTTTTGGGGGTTCAGATGAGTTTTTTGGGGGATAAAATGGTGTTTTTTGGTGCCTAAAAGTCTTTGGGGGGGGCCTCAGAGAGGTTTTGAGGGTGATTAAAAGGGTTCTGGGGGTTCAGATGAGTTTTGGGGGGGATAAAATGGTGCTTTTTGGTGCCTAAAATGTTTTTGGGGGGGGCTCAGAGAGGTTTTCAGGGTGATTAAAAGGGTTTTGGGGGTTTCAGATGAGTTTTGGGGGGATAAAATGGTCTTTTTTGGTGGCTAAAAGGTTCTGGGGGGGCTCAGAAGGGTTTTGAGGGTGATTAAAGGGGTTTTGGGGTGTTCTGAGGAGTTCTGGGGGGACAAAAGGTTTTTTTTTGGTGCCTAAAAGGTTTGAATGGGGGCTCAGAGGGGTTTTGGAGGAAACAAAGGGAGTTTGGTGGTGATTAGAGGGGTTTTGGGGGGGATAAGAGGATTTTTTTTTGGTGCATAAAAGGTTTGAGGGGGGCTCAGAGGGGTTTTGGGGGGTTCAGAGGGGGTTTAGGGGGGATAAGAGAGAATTTTTGGTGCCTAAAAGGTTCTGGGGGGTCTCAGAGTGGTTTGGGGGAGTTTAAAAGGTGTTTAGGGGGATCTAAAAGCAGTTTTGGGGGTCTCAGAGGGGTCTGGGGGGGCATTAAAGGGGTTAGGGGGGGATTAAAGGGTTTTTTGGGGGGATAAAAGGTTTTTTTTGGTGCCTAAAAGGTTTTGGGGGGGTCTCACAGGGGTTTTGGTGGATCTAAAAGCAGTTTTGGGGGTCTCAGAGGGATTGGGGGGGGAATTAAAGGCATTTGGGGAGATAAGAGGGGTTTTTAGGGGAATTAGAGGGGTTTGGGGGCAGCTCAGAGGTTTTTGGGGGGATTAAAGGGATTCTGGGGGCATTAGAGGGGCTCTGGGGGTCTAAATGGGGTCTGGGGGGGCTTAAAGTAGTTTTGGGAGATTTCAAAGGGTTTGGGGAGGTTTCAAAGGGGTCTGGGGGGATTAAAGTGGTTTTGGGGAGGTTCAAAGGGGTGTTGGGGGGGTTCAAAGGGGGTTTGGGGGGTTTCAAAGGGGTTTGGGGGGTTTCAAAGGGGTTTGGGGGGGTTTCAAAGGGGTTTGGGGGGGTTTCAAAGGGGTTTTGGGGTATCTCAAAGGGGCTTTGAGGGGTTTCAAAGGGGGTTGGGGGGATTCAAAGAGGTTTTGAGGGGTTTCAAAGGGGTTTGGGGGATTTCAAAGGGGTTTGGGGGTGTTTTTGGGGTGTCTCGGCCGTTTCTCACCATCTTTCTTGATCTTCTCGTTGAGGTTATTGATGTAAATGGTGTGGTTCGGCCGCGGGTCCTGCACCGCCATGACGGGACCGCGGGACCTGGTGGGGGGATTAAGGGTCTCTGTGGGTGTCCCATCCCTCAAACCCACCCCAAACCCCTCTCATCCCCCCAAAACCCTTTTAGCCACCACAAAACCCCATTTCCACCCCAAAAAAAACACCTTTTTGACGCCCAAAAACCCCGTTTTTAACCCCAAAACCCCTCCAGGACCGCTCCATACCCGCTCCCGCCTCAGCCGCGTGCGCCGCCTGCAGCCAGCCAATAACCGCGCGCCTCCCACCCTAAACCCCCGCCCACCGCCGCTTCCACCAATCACAACCAAGCACCGGGCGGCACGGTAGCCAATCAGAGCGCGGCTTTTGCTTGACTGACAGCTCCCTCATGAGGGCGATGGATCCGGTCCCGCCGCCGCCGCAGCCGCCGCCGCCTCCGGTGCCCCCTCTCCCCCCCCCGCCACCGGAGGCCCCCCCCCTCCCAACACCTCCGGTGCCCCCCGACCGGGTCCTCCGGGATGCGTTGGAACGGGCGGGGGCCGCGCTGGGGGGGGACGGCGGCGTCCGGGAGCTGCTGAGGCGGCGGCGGGACAGGTCCGGGGGGGGGGGGGCGGTCTGGGACCAGGCCCCGTTTGGCCCTATGGGGGGGGGGGTTCATTTATCCCTATGGGGGGGCCCCAAACCCGTTTATCCCTATGGGGGGGGGCTCATTTATTCCTATGGGGGACCCCCAACCCGTTTATCCCTATGGGGGGGGGCTCATTTATCTCTATGGGGGGGCCCCCAAACCCGTTTATCCCTATGAGGAGGGGGGATCTCATTTATCCTTATGGGGGGGGGGCCCCAACCCGTTTATCCCTATGAGGAGGGGGGTGTCTCATTTATCCCTATGGGGGGGCCCCAAACCCGTTTATCCCTATGGGGGGGGTCTCATTTATCCCTATGTGGGGGCCCCAAACCCGTTTATCCCTATGAGGAGGGGGGGGGGGTCTCATTTATCCCTATGGGGGGGCCTCATTTATCTCTATGGGGGCCCCCCCAAACCCGTTCATCCCTATGAGGAGGGGGGGTCTCATTTATCCCTATGGGGGGCCCCCAACCCGTTTATCCCTATGAGGAGGGGGGGGTCTCATGTATCCCTATGGGGGCCCCCCAACCCGTTTATCCCTATGAGGGGGGGGGGGGGGGTGTCATTTATCCCTATGGGGGGGCCCCAACCCGTTTATCCCTATGGGGAAGGGGGGTCTCATTTATCCCTATGGGGGGGCCCCCAAACCCGTTTATCCCTATGAGGAGGGGGGCATCTCATTTATCCCAATAGGGGTCCCCCCAACCCGTTCATCCCTATGAGGAGCGGGGGGTCTCATTTATCCCAATAGGGGCCCCCCAACCCATTCATCCCTATGGGGAGGGGGGGGGCCATTCCCATATCCAACCTCTTTAACCCCCCCCCCCCCTTTTTGCCCCCCTCCAGCCTGAGCCCCCATCTCCAATGGCTCCTGATCCACCGGCCCGCACCCCCCCTCATCCAGGATGGGCCCCAGTGAGTATTGAGGGGGGGACGTGTATAAACCCCCCATTAACCCTTATATCCATGTGCCCCCCCATCCCTATAGGTTAATACTCCTCCATTAACCCTTATATCCATGTGCCCCCCCATCCCTATAGGTTAATACCCCTCCATTAACCCTTATATCCATGTGCCCCCCCCATCCCTATAGGTTAATACCCCCCATTAACCCTTATATCCATGTGCCCCCCCATCCCTATAGGTTAATACCCCCCCCATTAACCCTTAAATCCATGTGCCCCCCCATCCCTATAGGTTAATAGCCCCCCCCATTAACCCTTATATCCATGTGCCCCCCCCATCCCTATAGGTTAATACCCCCCATTAACCCTTATATCCATGTGCCCCCCCATCCCTATAGGTTAATACCCCCCATTAACCCTTATATCCATGTGCCCCCCCATCCCTATAGGTTAATACCCCTCCATTAACCCTTATATCCATGTGCCCCCCCCATCCCTATAGGTTAATACCCCCCCCATTAACCCTTAAATCCATGTGCCCCCCCATCCCTATAGGTTAATAGCCCCCCCCCATTAACCCTTATGTCCATGTGCCCCCCATCCCTATAGGTTAATACCCCCCCCATTAACCCTTATATCCATGTGCCCCCCCCATCCCTATAGGTTAATACCCCCCCATTACCCCCTATATCCATGTCCCCCCCTATAGGTGTGGCCTGGTGGCCCTATGGATGGCAGCAGCGCTCTTGACCCCCCCCCACAAGCCGGCGCCCCCCCCGGTGGGGCTGGAGGAGGTTTTGGAGGTCGCCCGGGCCCGAGGCTTCACCGTGCATGGGGAGATGTTCTCAGGTGGGTTATGGGGGGCCCCCCCCATTTAACCCTATATCCCCCCATTTAACCCTATGTACTCCGATGTAATCCTATATCTCCCTGTTTAACCCTATATATGCCCGTTTAACCCCTTGCCCCCCCATTTAAGCCTATAACCCCCCATTTAACCCCATATTCCCCTATTTAACCCTATATCCCCATTTAACCCCATGACCCCATTTAAGCCTACACCTCCCCGTTTAATCCTATATCCCCGCTATATTCCCCCATTTACCCCATACCCCCCATTTACCC